AAAAATTTCACACACCAGCGTATGAAAGCTGAATTCGAAACCTTGAAGGATGAATATCTTTCCATGTTTCCCGAGTAAATAGTTTACCCGCCAAAATTTTCACTAGCTCGTTGGTGGTATCCAAGAGCGCGAGGACGTTGAATTTCAATGGGCAAGGTTGAGCGTTGGCAGGTGGTCATTATCCTAAAATTTCAGCATCCTAGTCTCCGTGGTTCCCGAGATATTAATTTACCCGTAAAAAATTTTACAGGGCCGTACGTGTTACCCTCGGGTACAGGGAAGCTGAATTTAAATTTGCGGGGTCGCACGTGGGTGGGGAACGTTCCCTTAAATTTTCAGCTTCCTAGCTTTTGTGGTTCCCGAATTGAAAGTTGCGGACAAGTTGCTGCGGACACACATACACACAGACACACACACACACACACAAACACACAGATAATCCCGTGACAATATGCGTTTTGTACTGCTGTTACACAGCACAAAACGCATAAAAAATGCGCATACGAAAGGAAACTGAGATCGCGTTGCTCTGATCAAGTTTTGTTCAAGGAAATTGAGATTGCACTGTTATGTTTGTTGGATTCGCTCAGCTGGTGCTGTTTCAGGTGTCAGTGCTGGTGATGTGTCACACTCGTGAATTGGCCTTCCAAATTTCAAAAGAGTATGAGCGATTCAGCAAGTACATCTCGGGCGTTCGAATTGCGGTATTTTTCGGTGGTATACCGATCCGAAAGGACGAGGAGACTCTCAAAAGCAGCCCACCCCATATCGTTGTTGGAACACCGGGCCGTACGTTGCAGTTGGCACGACAGGGCATCCTGAAACTCAAAAACATCAAATATTTCGTTCTGGATGAATGCGACAAAATGATTGGCGACAATGGTACGTCACCATTTGCTATTTATAATATAATTGACTTATTAAGTCCAGCAGGTATTGTCCGTGTAATGTCTTGATATTGGGGGCACGGGTTTCGGTCCCCCTTCCCCGGTGTGTTTGATATTACATACGTGCGGCGGCGCTGCGTTGTCACTGTTCTGCTCAGACGCCGATCCTGTACTCGACATGGAAGGACGAGCTGCAACCAAATTCATCGATAACAACAGCGGGAACGGCTAAGCATCTCACGGCGTATTGCGTTCTTTTTAGTGCTAATAGTTGTGCAAGCCTGATTGTCGCGACAAATATTGCTTTGGAAATAATGAGACGAAGTGGTTTTGTTTTGAATGGGATTTAATTTTCGGCAAATGCGCGATGCCAGGTTATTTTACTGGTGGTAAAGTAGTGGGGAAAAACGTGTGGCGAGTGATCCCTTTATTGTTCAGGCTTTTTATCACTTTCCTTGTGCCGGTATTTTTGCAAACCGACTGGAAAAGATGACGATTAAGGGATTCAGACTCACAGTCATGTAGCAATGCGATTTGCGAGAAATAAAACGAAAACCTGAGCAACGATTAGTGAACACATAACGAATAAAAGATGAATACTAACTGGAAACTTGCAGCCCAATGCTGGGAAACCTGAAATATGTTCTGGCAGGGAGGAGGAAAAGGAAAGGCATTTATATATAACACTGCAGTAGTTATATTGGTTTTGTGCCTGGTTGTCCGGTTTTTATGCGTTTTTTGCAGTTATGCAATGCAAAAAACGCATATTGACGAGAGGTTGTCTGTGT